GAAAAGTACAGGAATTCAGAGTCTCGCTTCAGAACAGGTACTCTGCTCTCATCGAGGAAAACAGCCGTAGCATTGACGCAGTGAGTAATAATCTGATGAGTATGATTACGGAGTGTGCAGTGGAAGCTTGAGGTACTGCAGTTAGACAGGACAATGAAAAGCTGTCCCAGGAAACAAAGAATCTCACTAAGAAGCGTGAAAGCATGAAATCCTCAAGTACAGCAGACAAAATAGAGTTGGTAGATCTTTCAAAGGTAATTAATAAGCGTAAGGTATCCTATGTAAGAAAGTATAACAAGGAGAATTTTGAACAAGCTCTGAAGAATGGAGGGAGCGTCAATGCAGTGAAGAGAAAACTTGAGATAGGCAAACAGCAGATGTATGCATTAGGGGAAAAGAAAGACAAAGTTACTAGCAATATGAATAGGACAGTAAAATTGGCGGAGGAGGTTTAGGGAGATCTGTACAGTAGCCAGCACAACCACGACCTTGATATAGGAACTAGGAGTAACTCAGATGACACCCCACCAGTAATGATAGCAGAAGGAGGAAAAGCTTTGTAGAGCTTGCAAAGAGGCAAAGCTGCAGGTTAGGATCAGGTAACACGAGATCTCGTGAAAGACGGAGGACGAATTGTGTTAGAAAAAGTAGCGACCCTGTTTACAAGGTGTCTCCTGACGGGAAGAGTACTACTATCCTGGAATAATGCTAACATCATCCTAATACATAAAAAATAGATGACAAGGACTTGAAGAATTACAGGCCTCCATAGTATACAAGCTATTTACAAAGGTAATTGCTGACAGAACTAAGACAACATCAGAATTCAATCAACCAAAGGAACAGGCAGGATTTCGAACAGGTTACCCAACAATAGACCACATTATTCAGACTATCAATCAGGTAATAGAGAAATGCTCAGAATATAGCCAACTACTATACATAGCTTAACAGATTACGAGATGGCGTTTGATTCAGTAGAAATCTCAACAGTCATGCAGACACTGTGAAATCAGGGCTTCGGTGAAGCATATATAAACATCCTGGAAAAAATCTACAGGGAATCGACTGCTACCATAGTGCTTCATAAAGAAACCAACAGAATACCAATCTGGAACGGTGTAAGGAAGGACGATACAATCTCCCCAATGCTACTTACCACGTGCTTACAGGAGGTTTTGTAGGCATCAAATGGGAACAGTTAGGCATAAGAGTTAATGAACAGTAACTTAGTAATCTGCGCTTCGGCGATAACATTTGCCGAGTAACTCAGGGGACGAATGTCAACTCTTGATTACGGAGTTAGACAAGGAGAGGAGAAAGGTGGGTCTTGAAATTAATCTGCACAAAACGAAAGTAATGTAAAACAACCTTGAAAGAGAACAGCGCTTCTGGATAAGTAATAATGCACTTGAATTTGTAGAAAACTTAGGAAAGGTAATAACGGTGGACCGAACCACGACGCTGAAGTAACTAAAAGAGTAAGAATGACGTGAGCACATTTTGCAAGCGCTCCTAATTCATGACAGCTAGATATCCACTAACCCTCAAGAGGAAGGTATATAACAGCTGCATCTTGCCGGTACTTAGTTATGGAGCAGAAAACTGGAGAATTGCAAAGGGGGTTCAGCTTAAATTGAGGATGACGCAGCGAGCAAGGAAAGAAAACGGTAGGGCTAACCTAAAGAGACAAGAAGAGATCAGTTTGAATTATTGAATAAACCGGGGTTAAGGATATCATAGTTGAAATCAAGAAGAGTAAATGGACATGGGCCCGGCATCCAGCACGTAGACAGGATAACTGCTGGTCATTAAGGGCAACTACCTTGATTCCTAGAGAAGGCAAGCGGGTTAAGGGGAGGCAGAAAGTTAGGTGGGCAGATGAGATTAAGAAGTTTGCGGGTATAAATTGGCAGCAGCAAGCACGGGACCGAGTTGACTGGTGGAGTATGGGAGTGGCCTTTGTCCTGCAGTTGTCGTAGTCAGGTTGACGATAGCCATGATGATGATAGGTGAATAAAAATAAAGAAATGAAATGGTAACAATATATATTATATATACAATAAATTCAATCTACATGTATTATGCTTTTGAGCTTGCAATCCATACAGACTGCCTCATTACATTTCGCGACCAATTATGAAAATTTAGTTAAGTTTGACATTGTTGAAATGACAAAAAAATAAATACCAGGTTGAAATGGGAAATTATAGGGATAACAGAAACTTCTGTTATTATTTTTCGTCGTCTTCAACCACAACACCAAAACACTGCACAATTTTTTGGACGTGTGCAGCGGGTACCTTGCTCCTCCGAAGAAGGACGTAGAATAGAATAGTGGATGTCTGCCTGCTACAGAATGCTTCAAAGCGTAGTGGGTACCCTGCAAGTGTGCTTCCAGCAGCTACTCTAATAGTTCTAAAAAGGCTCTGAAAAGCCGCTCTTCCAGCTTCATATTTGATGGTTTTGTGCGTTCCGCACATTCCTGGAGGTTTTTTTTTGATTTTCCACTTTCTTGTCTCGTTATGATCTTCCCAGAAATAATTCACTACTGATAGTACAACAAAAGGTAGAACAAATATGCATATTATTGACGTTTAAGGGCAGTGTCAAGCGCAAGTCAAAATGAGAAAAAAGACAAACAGTTGGCATCGCAGGCAGCGTTGCCAGGCGGCCACGTTGCGCTGACACGCCCCTTATAATCACAAGCCACCCGAAACGTTGACATGAATTCCAACTGACATTTCATGAGCTAGAAAAGCACATGTACTCATGTATTCATCCCCTCCATATTCGTCACCACCGTCATCAGTTTCTACACGTGATGAACAAAAAAATGATGAATTAGAAATTGCTGGGATTCGTGATGTTGCAAAACATTTTCGTTTCGATTCTTTCCGACGTATCTATTCTTGAAGGAACATTGGTGCCATAAATGACGAGAAGGCACTAGGAAAAGGCCGCTTAGGCCGCATAGGCTGGTAAGAAAAGAGGACCGGAATTCACGTTACTTAAGGACCTGACGGTGGCACTCATCCTGTCCACCAATGTAAGCAGTCCAGTGGCTAACAATTTCGAACGATTTTATTTGTTCCAAATCAAACCCATTTTGAAGGCAAATTACGTTCGAACGAGTTTGAAATTCATTTACATTTGCCGATTTCTTCCATTACGGTGAATTCCCCTTTTTTACCGTCTTTCACCCATTACCTCGTCGCACACGCACACACGCTCTATGTCGACGCTACGGAAGCCTATGCTGGCACGTCTCAGCCATATGGCTGTCACAATCCAAGGAACAGCGTACACAGTCTGCGTCTTTGTTAGAGGCTACGCATTTGAGGTCAATTTTTGTTCATCCGCATCCTTTCCTGTCATGGAAAGTTGCGTGAATGTGAGACAAAGAAGAAGTCTAACAATAGAGTATTATCAATCATAATGTGTGAGCAAAATTTAAAACACCCAGAACCACAAGAAATAGGGATATAGAAAACACAAGGAGGCTAATCGGAGAATACTCTAGTTTGGTAACCTGTGCTTAAAAAACAGAAAAAGATTTCAAAATAATTAAAGAAAAGGAGAAGAGCTGGTGAGAGCAGAAAAAAAAAGCTAAGATGGGAGCACTATCTGAGCATCAAGGCAGAATAGTTCCATCTCCTTACGGTTCATCTTTTTTTATTTAGCACTAATATAGTTAGCAAGGTTTTCAAGTCTTGCTCAAGTCGGTGAATTGTAAAATTAACTTTGCAGGCCCTCCAAAGTGGTGCCACAATAAATTATTTTATTTTGTGCTAAAGTCTGTCCGCTGGTTTTGTTGCGAGGAATAACGAAGTGGAGTGGTACAAGCATAATTTGAAAAGACACATGCTCACTCGTCTCTACACAAGCGTTTCCAGGCATCTTTGTTTGATACAATGCGTTCCATCGTTATCGTGTTCTACAGTACTTTTAACTCGATTATGAACATGTCAGCAGCGTGTTTTGATGTGGGTTCATCAAATAGCAAATGGCTCTGTGCTGTGCAATAAATCAATCTTGTGTCAATCAATGACAGCTTCGAATTTTATGAGTAGGAGTGCGCGAGCACGCGTCTATATCATTTTTGGCGAGTTTTGTGCGCTTTGTTTTTGGTCAGAAATCAAGCGGGTTGATTTCAATACAACAAACATGCTCTACTTGAGGTTAATAGGATGTGGCCGGCTACTAAACGTGGCAATTTTACATATCTAATAACAGCAAAAAAAGTGCAGAATATCTCCCACTACTCAGGTTTCGTAAATCGAAGTCGGCCAAGCCTGCTTGACTCTGTGTAAGGCCCAAAACAACGAAAAGAGATGATTCTGAATAATATTTGGTTCATTTTCGGTTGTCTCTAAGCCTTGACTAGGTGAAGCAGGTTGTTTATATGTGAGTATAGATCTTAGGTATGTTTTCGTAGGTTATAATAAGTTGCTTCTACGTTCATTCTCAGCACAGAGGTTTGAGTTAAACAACTGTGTGACAAACACGACAGGTAAGCTTAAACTGCTGAGACAAAATAATCGCCTAGAAACCATGTGTCCGCGCCTCTCATAGATCTACGGGCACGTCATCATTGGCGCACGTTTTCTCTCTCTCTTCGCAGTTTCTTCTCAGTTATCATCACATTTCCCGTTCACTAAGAGTCTTCGGCTCGCCGCCAGACATCGCTTTTCAGGTGTAGGTTGCGCAAACTGTTGCTTTTTTCATTTTTTGCGGATTAGTGGTAAGTGGTGAGGTTTGCCCAATTTCTTCGGCAGATACCCTTATTATAAGGACTATTTTCTGATAAGCAACATACGCTCTGTACGGCTGGCTAAAGCAGATTTGCTGCTGAAAAATTACAAATTTTATGTACACATAGCTGCTGCAAATATGTTGAACGCAGATGTGTCCTCAAGCACACGATTTTCTTCTAATTTTGTTTCAAGTTTACTGGGACAGCTGGTATTCAGAATAACTATTTATTCGGTGTGATGCAGGGGGTCACGAATCAAAGCAATGTAAAATAACAGGCACATTGTGTTTGGCGAAACGTGATTGCAAAAATTTGAAGGGGAAAGCGGCTGGAAAGTGTTTCAAAGGAGTTTGCTGCAAAACAGGTGAGTGTCAGCTTATGCTTGCATGCGAAAGCTACGAAATATATACTACCGTAAGTAATCATTCCAGCTTAAATATCTGATACACAAAAGTGTTTCTGATACACAAAAGACGGACTAGCAGACGTCCGTCCGTCCGTCTGCTAGTCCGTCTGACCCTCCGTTCATGCGTCCATCCGTGCGTCCATCTAGTGAACACTCCAAGTATACCGCCATCTCCCGTCTTGCATCCTCTGTGACACATACCTGCTCTAGAGTGGGTATGTGCCACCGGTGGTTACGTACTACTCCATACATACGGAGGAGCGACAGACCCACGCCCTAAGGAGCTTCGCCACTAAAACTAATTTCAGCGCAAACACATGCCACTTTCACGCACACACACTAACACACTCACACAAACACACACACGCAGCGCTTTGCGTGTTTAATGCCCGGGTGTGTGTGTGTGAATATGTAGTTTGTTTGTGCTCAAATTATTTTGTTGAAATGTCTACGTGGGTCACGCGAAGCAGATTGAGTGGCACTTCTGCCACGAAGGTTTGGAATCGACAAACCCAGCCTCTAAAAAACACAATACGACCACAAGCCCCAGCGTGTGTGGTTGTCTTATTTGTCTTCTGGTGTATGCGTTTTATAAATGCTGGGTTTCTAGATTCCAAGCTATGTACCAACAGGCTAGACACAGGACTTTCCAACCACAATGAGATTGATGAAAAGAAGAAGCTTTGTGTGTGCTTCGATGGATTTCGTTCTTGGCATTCGTGGCGTTCGTTAATTGAGAAAAAAACAAAATGACATGAACTTATTCTCAATAAAGACTTGAATCATTCTTACATTTAAAAAGCTGATTTCATGAACTCTGCATGACCTCAAACTCAGAACACCCGTAGGCAGTTCGCTAACTAACGCAATTCGATCCTTATTGTGTACTTCCCATCATTCCCACTATACTTCAACGACCGCACCACCAAATTTTCTTCGTGGTTATAGTACAAATCTGTCTGAGCTTCAGCAAGCGACAGTATCAAGAAAAAATCACCACCCAAGCACTCCGTACAAATGGTCAACCAGCGAATGCTGAAACGTGTGGTCCCGGTGTTAATCAGTCGGTTGAACTCAACGCTGCACTGAAGCCTGTCACAGTTATTGGTTACATGTTCGTGCTTCTAAATGAGGTTAGACACACGTTTCGCTTGGTCTACTACAGTTTATCATTCACATGCTTAACATTTTGCCTCACATAATGACGGTAGCGAAAGAGCGTAATTAGCAGTTAAATGCTCTGCAATTGCGTTAATCACATTGATTGATTTTGAACCACAGGCGGTGTGGAGGTGTTGAGATTTTTATATTCATTTATTAAAGTAAGCGCTATCTTTCACATATCATGGTATCCTTTTAACGACATTGTTTTCTCTACTGCTTCTATATGACTCTTTAGTCACTTTCTTAGACAGATAAATATATCTGTGGGTTTTTATGCTTTATTCCCTCTGTATTTACTCATGCAAATAAATGAGTACGTAACTAAAGAAAATGAAGAAAATGTCACCGTGCCTGGTTCTTTGAGTAAACGAAATCGTCATATAGGTGTTGCCATACAGCTATCTGCCACCGCCACTCCCCCACCCCCATTGAGAAAAAAAAACAAATTGATGCATTCCGCAAGGTAATTGAGCAATGTATGCAAATTGCGCATTATACCTTGGTATTGTAATATAATAAATATGTATAATTATCGCGTAAAGACTCTTTCTAATAAATTTTTCCTTCATAACGTGTTTTGTTCGCTTTGCCATCACAGTAGCCATTGCTTTGGAGTCACTGTGGAGTGAAGCAATGTGAAGTGCTTGGACGTGAGCCACGTTTTGGCTGAAGTCAGAATAATACATCAGAAGGGACGTGTGGATGTCACATTCATTTAAGTGCAGCACTTCACAAGAAATCTTGCGCTATTATTGATCCGTCACCGGGCATGTATATCCGATGTTACTGGTCCTCCGGACAAATTCGTTTCTAACGACTTTCCATCACTTCAGCCCCCAGTCACAAGTTGCTGCATGCCAACGCTCTTTCTTTATACCTTATTTTTCAGTACTAAGTGCGTGCTAGTCAAGGCAAAAGCTATTCATTACTGCATATAAAGTCACTAAAACGATATTTTTTTTTTAGAAACTGAGGCACAGACATCGGTGGGTCCAATCCGTCCTTTCCCGATGCGGCAGCGTATGCTCCCTTCCCTGGCGGAAAGCTCACGAGGTGGTTCTTTATATCGGAGGCTTCCATCCTTGCGATGGCGGTTTTTCCGGTCTTCATAAATTTCTTGCCAAAAAGAGCAAAAGGCAGCACAAAAAAATAAAGGTGGTTTCCATCGTCCTACTCCGGAGCCACAAAACACCACCGGTGCGCTGCGCAGAACCGGAGCGCAGTCTAGCAAAACAGAGCTTTTGCTCTGGAGGCAGCCCATATTAACATGATGTCGGTATATTTATTTGCAATTTTTTATCGACTGAATCTTTGCTTTCTTCTCCCCACTCTGGAGCATAACCCTTCCTTCCGCGCCGTGCCGCCGCCGATCCAATGAGCCTCGCGCTGGTCTTGCGCCGCCGCTGGAGGTGAAAACACCGGCACGCCACCGCCGGAAATTTGGGTACCGCGCACAAGTCTAGTGTTAATAAATCAAAGGTCCAACTTTCGGAATTCGCGATATGATTACGAAAGAGGTCGTAGTGGATGGCTATAGAAATTTGGAGCATCTGACGTTTTTTTAATTATGCACTGGCACCTACCTCATTGTACAGAAACCTCTACCATTTCGCGGCCATCGAAATGTGACCACCACGACCGGGATTGAACCTGTGGCTTAGAAACTACCAGCCGAGCTGACAAACAGGAGCGGGTTTATTGGATCCGAGTCACCGTGGTTCTGGACTGCGTTCGGTCACTCTTCGAAGACTTGGCATCACACCCCGAATTCTTACCATATTTGTAACACACAGTTAAAAAAATAGACTAATGCACTTTCTTTGAAGCAAGCTTCTGGCCGAGAAAGAAAAGAAAACGAAAGGAAGGTCTTTTGACAACCCGGAAAACGGTCTCTCTTTCCATCTCAATATTGATGCCTTTGTTTTTTTTTCTTCTATTTCTCGAGTTCTGCGTGCAAGCAGCTCTCCACCACACCTTCACTTTGGTTTACGAGCATGCCGTGCACAACTCAGAAGAATTAAGAATAGTCACCCTGCGTGCTTAGGTTGCAATATCATGTGACACTATGACCTGTTATGTTCAAGTATTCATGCGAAATTTCTGAAAGGCTTTTCATTCGCTAAAGTGGCTCTGTTAAGCACAATTTAGGCAACCAGTTGTTCGACCTGACACACAACACCATACTCATGCCACTATGCGTTCCAGTGCTATCATCACGTTCCCGAGAAAGCAACGAGCGACAGAGGGACTGTAGAAAGTGAAACAACCTTTTCTATGCGAACGTTTCAATCGGCAAAACTTAACAAATGTATGCAATTGTTCACGCTGAATTTCATAATTGCCATAAGTATTTGTGATATTAGAATGTTTTCAATCAAAAAATGCTTTTCGAATCGAATAAAGCACATTTTTATTGTCTAGCAATGAGTGTTTTGAACATTAACGTATTTTTATTTCTCAGTTGTGATGCACGTGTATTGTTCTCATCACATCCAGGAAGGAAACATTTGTGCAGCGCTTTTGGAGGAGAATGCCAACCAAAAAATACGACCTGCAAGTCCTTGAAAAAAGCCAGCCATACTTGCGGAAAAAGCAAGAAATGCTGTGTTTGGTTAAATTAGTCAGTCACGCAAAACTTTCTCACAAAAGTGTTTCTTCACATAGGTGAGCTTAGCGGTAGCAGGATACTGAGAATATCCAGTCACCAAAGTAACGCACTCCTTTAATAGAGCATGAAATAAAAACAGAAAATAAACTTTCGTTGTGAGTCCTAAAATGAGTATTTGCAATATTGATCTCTACAGAATAACTGTACGCTGCACTTTGCTGCCTCTGCAGTAGAACATTTCCAAGTGGTTTGAATACAAGAGAGTATTCTACAATAACACGCACATTTTTGTTCTCTTGTGAGATTGACAACATCAAACACTGTTCTTGTCCTCAAATACTTGCGGGCACATTTGTTTTCTTGCTTTTGTTGTGTTGTGTTTTTATGGAAATGTGTTGTTTTATACTGTATAGTTGGTTCAAATGTTAAATGTGGAGCACTCGATCCTAAGATGAAACTTGAAAGATACGACGAATTTGCTAACGCTGGTTGTCGTGAACCGACGTCAAGACAAGCAGACTTCCGTTATTCATCTCACCAAGAACCAGCATTAAAACGAGTGTGCGTGTTCTGTACCCTGTCCTTTTACCCTTAGCAAACAGGAGAGAGGGGCAACTACAAACTAAATGTTGGCTCTGGCTTAGAAGGAAGAGTGAGCCTACTCTATTAGATGAAAACAAAAAAAAGGAACAGTAAAAAAGAAAGTAGGAGTGTTAGAGCTATGGAGGAGGGGGGATTTGCGTTAAGAGGTCACTGGTAGACGAAAGAATTTCATTGAATCATGGTAGTCAAATGGAAGCACGACTCGACAAAGCTAATTTCTTTATGATGAGGAAGATTAAAAATTGTTAGAAGCAAGGTTTATTTGCGGTTGCTTCTTGTTGGGAGTATAGCATATCGGATGTATATGAAAGCTGCTTTTATACCTTTTGACTTGAGTGTATTAACGTTGTATGTGTCATTGGAGTACATACACGTCTACCACGAACACCATCAATATTGTTACGAGTCAGTAAGCGTTTCTTATGACCCCAGTTGCACAGCATTGAATAGGACGATGCTACGAAAGGAGAAAACATAGTCGTTGTCGTCATGTTCTCTAACAGCTTCACTTTCTCATTTAAGAAGCACTCTTACACTTGTTATGGTGCAGAACTAACCCAGCAGGCGCGTCAGACGTCTACTCGTTGTGTCTTAGCTTTAGCCGAGTTACACCCGTAACTTCAATCGAGCGGACCGTTCGTCGTTGGGAGTGAGGCATGCAGTACAGTTTACCTCACTATAACGGTCGATGATCAGAAACGGGCAAGCCCGGTCTGCCACGGAATTTGTGCATACAACGCGCTTTCGTACAAGGTGCGCAATCAAACAAAGTAACCAGGACATAACTCACAAGATTGTACTTAATATCGTATACGCCTTTCTACAGTGTTTGGAAAGTTGAAGTGCAAAGTCGCACTGGTTGATGAGCTTCCCCAGCATGTCACAGATCTTCAGATCTTTCCAGGTTACCAGGCCTCCTCAATGGAATGATAGTGCCTAAGGTACAAGGAGTTGAGGTTGCGTAAAGAAGGAAGACTCTGCTACAGCATGTCGTTTTGTGTTTTGCTGTGGTAAACGCACGTGTTATAAACGGGAAACTTTCAACGCAGTTCTCATGATTGAATGCCAAGTACATTGAAAGCACGTTTACAAGCGTCCAGTTCACGCACTCGGTAAGTCTGCTTATTTGCCGATGGTAAGGTGCTGGAAGTTGAAAAATAGACTCGGACAAGCGTAGCGATTCCATCACGGTAAGCTAGCGTATATGGTCGCGGATTATCTCTAGAATTGGCCCGAGCCAAAAAATGATCCAGTGTAGCAAGAACAGGGGTATGGCAGCAGCAGTCGAAAAGGCGGCGGCGCGTGTCTCGCAGTACCGAGACAAGTAATTGATGTACACGTCTATCCAGCGGTTACACGTGTCCGATCGAGGTAAAGCTTCCTGAAGATTCATGGCCACTTGCTCAAAAGGAGAGCACAAAGGCGGCTCAGGCTGGACCGACGTGCGGGAACAACCGTGGGGTGCTTCTGATGATGACACCTTCCTGTGGCGATGTATAACAGCGCAACGATCCTCCCCGATGTGACGAACAGTCATAGCGTGGTATCGCCAGCCGGCAGTAAAAGGTCAACCGTTATTTCGTTTGCCAATTTCTTCGACCCATCGTCGGATTCTCACCGATGTGACGAAATATCATAATTCTGTATTTCCAGCCGGCAGTAAAAGTGCTACCATTATTTACTTTGCCAAATTTTTCTACACGTTGTCGGCCGATGTACGCAACTGTCGTGGTGCATCGGCCAGTACATTTGAGCCAGTGTTCACTATCCTGCATGCGTAATCATGCAGAGCACAGTAAGGTTTGCTGCTGAATGTCTTGGAGCACAGAAATGCTATCAAAACTTTTCCGAATGATAGTGTGTAGAAGCACGACTGCCTCCTACTTCTCAATACGAAGAATTGGCAGATTCAAAGTACATTGGGAATCGATGATATGCGAATCACGAATGACGATACGTCAGTTTAAAATCAGCACAACGTTACGATTGATTGATTGATATGTGGGGTTTAACGTCCCAAAACGACGATATGATTATGAGAGACACCATAGTGGAGGGCTCCGGAAATTTCGACCACCTGGGGTTCTTTAACGTGCACCCAAATCTGAGCACACGGGCCTACAACATTTCCGCCTCCATCGGAAATGCAGCCGCCGCAGTCGGTATTCGAACCCGCGACCTGCGGGTCAGCAGCCGAGTACCTTAGCCACTAGACCACCGCGGCGGGGCAGCACAACGTTAAGAGGTGGAGGTAAATTATGCCGTACTTGACACACATGCCATGGCCATCATGTTTGGACGTATCATTTAGGTTTGTCTTCTATTCATGTGACGTAATACAGAATTTGGTATAGGTTGAGCTTGCAAAACGGCCACGAGCGTGCTATGTGTGTATCATCTAGTAATGATTTACATGACACACATATCATGATTATCATATTTGAACCTGTCATTTACATTCGTCATTCATTCATTCACGTCACGTAAAATCAAATCTGGTATATGTGGAACTAGCGAAACGGCTGCGGGCGCATCATGAGCGTGGTATGTTGTCATGTTTTTACATGACACGTGTGTCTTGATTATCATGTTTGCAGCAGTCATATACCTTCGTTGTCGATTGACCTCTCGTAATACCCATTTTAGTATATGTAGGGCTAGCAAAACAGCCGCAAGCGCCTCATGAGCGTGACATGTTGTCATATTGTTACGTGACACGCATCTTATGATTGTCATGTTTACACCGGTCACATACCTTTGTCATCCATTCGCGTCCCGTAGTACCAAATTTCGTTTAGAAGCTAGCGAAAAGGTGGCTAGCGCATCACAAAGGGCCGAAAATGCTCCGACGTAACGTTGACGCACGCTCACGCAGGGCGCAGCGACGCTACGCTAGCAAAACGCAAGCGCTCTTTAGTCTGGCGCCAGAAGCGACCAGCGTCCGCCGGCGCGGCCCGGTGGGAATCGGTGCGAAATGCGACATGCTGCATTTCACGCCGACATCATTATCCGGTCAGCACTGCATCTGCCTCTCTTTGTGACGTAGGGACGCCGGGTGGGCTCAAACGCGCATGCGTCAAATCAACCAAGCGTGGCGCGCACTTGTGAGTATTAGCGATGCCTACGGCCTATAAGTGGTGCGCCATGGAGGAAGGAAAAAACTTAGCAGGGGCCCGGACATCACTCGTTGTGAAGCTGGAAGTCAAGCCATATCGACTGGGCAAATTCTCCTCTATTGTCTACATCCGAATGTAGAGCAGAAGGCGCGACTTTCTCTCCGGCTTGGACAGCACGTGGGCTGCGCACAGCACGTGTCGTGACGATACGCACTTAATGAAACGAGCTCAACACCCTGGGCCAGCGTGACACAGCGAGTAATCAGCAAGTAACAGCTCGCCGACAACGAAGCAAGTACAAGAGAACGCGCGCTAGCTGCACTGACCACGGCGAATGTTTTCACGTCATCAATTTAGCATATGCGACTGTAAAGACAACACGGTCGGTCGAGCGCCTTATACGGTTGCATTCAGCCACGCGGCTGAGGCTGCGGCCGGCCACTGTGCCCGTGTTCCTACGTGAAACTTACCAGCGTCAGCATTCTGCGACTGTGGTGACTTTGAGTTCGGCGCAAGTGACACATGAACGCGGTTGCTCAAACTAACGTTACTAGAATTGGCTCTAACGTTGACTTTGCAATGCTGGGAGCGAGTACAACAAGTGGATCAGAAAATGTGTTTTATACGCACCTGCAAGTTGTTATTGTCCGCATACAGAACATGAAGCTACGTATGTGCACATAATCCTCATTGCGTCTTGCTGGGCAAAACAGTTTCGTCCGTTGTCACAAGTAGGAGCACTGCCCAACCGTCCCTGACCTGCGAGGCGTTTATCATCGTTCCGCTTCGTCATTGTGCCCAACGCAATTTCGCTCAACACTTCAAATGCATCATCCGCGTCATCCGCCGCTCGACACATGGCCATGCGCTCGTTCTACGCACAGTGCAGGCCTCGTGGTGGACGAAAGCTTCTGTAAACGTCACTGAGAGTACGGTAACTGCCAGGAGAACACCGCGTCACAATTACACGGCGCAGAGCACGGATATTGTCCGCCACGGCTCAGCATGAGACCTGCCTCCGCACATATGCTGCCGCCCACCGTGGCCACTCACTGCTGGACCAGCTACACTGCACAACACGTAACCATAGCAACGCCACCATTGTGCTCAGAGAATATGGCCGCCATAATGTCATTTCCTTCCCACTTTTCACGTAGCACGCCGGCTGAGCATGCTCTCTACTTTCTTTCCTTCCTCCGCGTGGCGCGCCATGCAATCCAAGATGGCTGCGGAAGGATGATCTACCCGTGAACTCGCATAAGAAAAGATAGGACGCACGAACGTATTCCCTGTGCCGCTTTCACCGGATGAACTCTTG